AGTAAAACAGAGTATTAGTTAGCTAGATGTAACAGTATCTGAATACTCTTCCAAACGGTGCCTTTGTGAAAAGGTGAGCAAGTGAGATGAGAACTTTCTGAGCAGAGTTTTAAGAGGCAGATTGCTGACTGAAGCGAGACAATTGCTTACATCAACTCTGGCTCCTATTACCACCTGCCAGACCGCATCCACCTCTTCTGAATTCATTTTCCCAAGAAGATTTGCATATTGCTTGTAGAGAGACACCAGTGTATAAACTGCCTGCAAAGGAATCAATTCACATGATTACGTGACAATCTGTACATCTCTGATGTTGTCTCAGTGTTAACTGGTATTAATTAGCAAAATTGCTGAATGGTTCCAAAGGTGCTTTGTTCTCAAGTTCACTGCAATTTTGGAGGCACTGACAGCATTTGCTGTCTACCTGCAGTAGTGCTGTGGATAGAATCTCTTTGTATACTTGCTGTACTAATAAGGAGGTAAACTGGAATGCAAATACTTCACTCAAATTGGCACTTATTTATAAAATTAAAACTGTATCTTGTTTCAAAGTTAAATGTCTCACTCCATTCTTCTGATGAAACTCAAGTTCATGGCCTTAGAAATGGGCACAGAAGGTAAATAAAATACCCAGGAATACAAGGTGGCGTATCCTACTTACTCAGTACGCAGGTATCCAATAACTGTTACGTGTTTCTTTAGCCCCAGTTCTGAGAAGTGGGTCATTTCAACTTAAGTTCAAGCTCAAAGCAACAGTCTAACAAAGCTAAAAATAACTTCCGTGTTTGGTGTAGTACAACAGTGAGCCCTACCCCACTGTTTCCTAGGGAGCTGACACCTTCAAACCCTCACACCTCTTTCATTAAAATTCATAAAAAAACAAAGTCCATTTTAAGTATGGTGTAACAAGTGTAGTTAGTGCCAAATAATTTAGTAGTTCCAGTACTGACTTGCTGGCAAAGCGTGTAATCTCTCGGCTTACCTTTGTATACTCTGTCAATGCTTCAATCAATGCGTATGTTGTTTGAGAGAGGAGTGTAGAAGTACTGTCTGTTACCAAGGAAACTGCTCTTTTAATCAAGGCATCATTACTGAGAGAAACCGAGTTCTGTTTCTGAAAGACAAGACACTTGCATAATCTTTACACTGACTTTCATACAGATGTTATTAGTAACAAAATAACGATAAGAAAAACTTGTAACTTAGTTACAAGGTTGGACAGCCTAATTCTCACTGCTGTTTTGCCATTGTAAAACAAGGCAGCTGTTTTTACAAGGTGTTACTGAAGGTAGATGCTGTTTTTCTCATTTCTCTTCCTTAACAACTACATGGCTTAAACACCTGTGATCCCCAAGAAGGAATACAATTCTGAAGGTAAGTACTAGTTTGTAAAATGCTAAGCAAGTGGTTTTTAATATTAAGCTGTTTCTAACGAGTGGATGCTGTATGTATCTCGCTCCTGATACGTTACCTCCACGACTGGGACTGCACACAAGGCCACTCCCAGCCCCACGCCCACTGTTTGGTGCCATCGTCTGTTCACACCTGAGAGGCAGTGTCTCCTAATATTGGCCAGAACAGGGAAGCTTTGCCTGGAAATGCAAGAAGTTGTTAAGCGTGAGAAATAACCAGTGTGTGGCAGGAAATAGGTATCAAACAGGCAAACAACACCTAGAAGCTGTTCTAGGTGACCTAGTCTCTACCAAGCTTCTGTAATGCAGCTGCATAATCGTAGAATCATAGAATCGTTTACGTTGGAAAAGGCCTTTAAGATCATCCAGTCCAACCGTTAACCTAACATTACCAAGTCCACCACTAAACCAATTAAGGGTATAGTAGCAATTTCATGTTTCCTGGCTTGGTGGCTGGATTATTTTTTAATGAAAGTAAAAACTAGGTGGTGAATGAGTAAGTTTGTTTTAAATTCTGTCATATTACTTAATTCTAAGTGCTTGCACTTAAGAAGGCAAGCACAGTAATTAGTGCATTACTAATCCTTTGAGAGATGAAATGCATCTTATCTGGTACCAATACACTGCTAATATTCAATAATATTGAAAAACAAATTAAAAAGCATGCTTAAAAGCAGTATACAGTACATGCAGGTGAGCAATATGACTGGTAATAGTTCGCTGCAATCCAGTGACACTTAGGGCCTACTGTAGCCAGTTTTATTTACATCCAATGTTGTGTAAGTGTCCCTGGGGTCAGGGCAGATCACTGAAATACTCAAGCAGCAAACCAGAAGCACTCAGTCATGAGAGTTTTTTTTGTTGTAATTTTCTGAAAATAACTGGTCAGTTTTCCACCCTCGATGCTGTGTGCTACAGCCCACCAGTGGCAAGCACTCCTCCTGCTTGTGCTATTCCAGCTGTGCTATCTGGAGACAGATGAGGTGCGCTACGACCATTTCTGTGGCACAGGCCGCCGCTCC